AAAAAAAAGATTGCTTCCATGCCTTGACTATTGTAAACATTGCTGCAATGAACATTGAGGTGCATCTATTTTTTTATTTTAATTTTTTATTATTTTGAGCAAATATTTATTGAAAATAAAATAATGATAGAGGCAGAAATAGCCCATGCCCTCAGGGAGTTTCCCATCTTCTAGGGAAGTCAGACATGAAATAATCTCTGGGAGTAGAGTCTAGAAGAGTGTGGATATTTGTATATGTATGGCAGGTCTATGAAAAAGACCCTGATGCTGGGAAAGACTGAGGGCAGGAGGAGAAGAGGGTGACAAAGGATGAGATGGTTGGATGGCCTCACCAACTCAATGGACATGAGTTTGAGAAAACCCTGGGAGACAGTGAAGGACCCAGAAACCTGGAGTGCTGTAGTCCATGGGGTCGTAAAGAGTCAGACACGGCCTAGAGACTGAACAACAATGGCTGGTTTACTTTGGTATACAGCAGAAACTAACACAACACTGTAAATCAACTATATCTCAACAAAAAATTAACTTAAAAATAATCTTATGATATGGGAATGTCAAGATGTTTCCTGTCTAATCCAGCAGCCATTGGTCACATTTTGTTATTGAGAGCTTTAAGTGTGGTTAGACTGTGAGTGTAATATGCATACTGGATTTCAATGTCTTGGTGCCAGAGATGAAGGAATTAAAATAGCTTATGAATAATTTTTAGAATGACTACATGTTGAAATGAAAATATTTTGCAGGTAGTGAGTTCATATATAATTTAAATGATCCTTTATTTATTTTTTTTTTTTTACTGTTCTGAAACGTGGTTACTGGAAAATTTAAAATTACACATGTGACTCATACTGTATTTCTAACATACAGTGCTAATCAGTATCAGGGATTAGCAAACGCTTCCTGTAAACCGTGGTTGGTAAATGTTTAAGGCGTTGAGCGAGATAGGATCTGTTGCAATTTCAACTCTGTCGTCAGGGTGTGCAAAAGCATTCCTAGGCAATATGTAAATTAATGGGTGAGACTGTGTTGCAATGAGATTTTTATTCACACACACACAAAAAACAGGCAATGGGGACTACCCTTAAGGTTCATTGGTTAAGAATCCACCTATCGACGCAGGAGAGATGGGTTTGATCCCAGATCAGAGAAGATCGTCCATGCTGCAGGGAAATGAAGCCTGTGTGCCACCACTACTGAGCCCATTTACTGGAGCTACTGCAGGCTGCATGCCCTAGAGCCCATTGTCTACAACAAGAGAAGCCACCACAATGAGAAGCCCATGCCTGGCAAAACGAGAGTAGCCCCTACTCACTGCAGCTAGATAAAGCCTGCTTGCAGCCACGAGGACCAGCACAGCCTAAAAAAATTTTTTTAATTAAAAAAAAAAGCAGAGATGTCCAGATTGGCTTGTAGGTCACTGTTCATCACTCCCCTGATCTATATGCTGTCTGGATGGCCCAGGAACAGGCTAGGACACAGACCACCAACATTGAAAGGGGTAGCCCATCCAAGAGATTGAACATGAATAACCATAAATGTGAGAAGGGAAACTTATTTCCCACTGCTGAGTTGAATCATCCCTTAAAAACACAAATTCAAATGTAGCCAAGATTTTTTTTAGGTAATACCACCTCAGGAATTTTTTTTCAAGTTAATTTATTTATTTGGCTGTGTTGAGGCTCTGTTGTGGCATGTTGTCTCTCTACTTCTGGTGATTGGACTCAATTGCCCTGCGGCATGTGGGATCTTAGTTCCCTGACCAGGGATCGAACCTGAATCCCCTACATTGTGATGTAGATTTTTAACCATTGGACCACCAGGGAAGTCTCAGATTGTTTTTAAAATTTCTTTTGAGGGTTAACTATCTGGAAGTCCACTTCCAGAGTAGGCCACTTTCAGTCCTCAGAGTAGGCCAGTGAGGGTGCAGAAATACGTGAGATATTAAAGTGTGTGTGTATGTATGGATGAGTTGGGTCATCTGTAATAACTACTAAGCAAATGATTGGCTTTTTCTTTTTTTAATTTGGGGGAAATTTCAGGGATCAACGGGGTGGCTTTCGTTTCCTTTGCGGGTATGGAGTCTATTTTGGATGAACGCTTCTTGCAAGATCTTCAGAACCCCTGGGCCAACTCCAAGAAGAAGCTGAAGATGAATTCTCGTGTTGTTGGGGGCATCATAACAGGAGGGAAGAAAGACGGGTTCTCTAAACCAGTCATCTATACTCTGGAGAACATCAAGTTTGGTGACGAGGTTTGCACTGGGCCCCCAGCTATCTACTGGGAACTCCACGTCCTCTATTGGCTTAACTCTCAGTTTTTGACAGGGACCCGTTAAGCAGAGGTTCCCTGGTGGCTCAGTGATAAGGAATCTACCTGCTAATGCAGGAGACGTGGGTTTGATCCCTGGGTTGGAACATTCCCCTGGAGAAGGAAATGGCAACCCACTCCAGTATTCTTTCCTGGAAAATCCTATGGACAGAGGAGCCTGGTGGGCTACAGTCCATGGATTCGCAAAGAGTCAGACATGACTTAGTGACAACATTAAGCAGCAAGTGTCCACAATTTCTGATAACTCAACGACTTCCCAAAATCCACTGCTAGAAAAATGAGCTCTTCTATTTCAATGTGGCATTTTTCCATTCATCAATGGGTAAGGTTGAGGTTAGATTAAGTAATGTTGATGCAGGAACATTTACATGAACTTTATTTATAGTAATTATAACCAAGTTGGTAATGGATACAGGTCTGGCACCTGAGACATTTCTTTTCATCACTGCACATTGAAATATCAGCACTTTTCTCTATTCTGTACAGAACATGCCCACATTTTCTTGAGTTGGTCAGGTTGAATCCATTCAAGATGGATTCTCAGGTAACTAAAGGTTCTGAATTTTCAGCCAAAGCAGGATTTTGAGAGTGCTATCTGCGTTACCTGGAGACCAGATGTGGAGGGAGGCAGATGGACACGCTCAGGCTGTGTGCTCCTTGAAGCTTCCAAGACGCATACTGTCTGCGGCTGTAATCGAATGGTGAACTTGGCCGTCATCATGGCTTCTGGGGAGCTCACGGTCAGTAATGATGCTCTGTAGTCTGGGTCCTCAAACCCAACGGGAAAATACTGATTAACATCCATTGTGCGCCTCTCATGGAATTGAGCATTGTGGGAGGGAGTCAAGGGGACAGAAGGGGTGTGTGCCATATCTCTGCCCTTAGAGAATTCATGGTCTGGTTGAGAAGCCATGACACTTGTATATGAAATGAGAACTGACTCTAAACAGGTGCAGGCACGATAATAACCACAAACCCCACTTATAGAGCACCTGGGCTTCCCAGGTGGTGCTAGTGTAACGAACCCACCTGCCAATACAGGAGATGGAAAGTGATGTGGGTTTGATCCCTGGATCAGGAAGATCCCCTGGAGAAGGACATGGTAACTCACTCCAGTGTTCTTGCCTGGAGAATCCCATGGACAGAGGAGCCTGGCAGGATATAGTCCATGGGGTCGAAAAGAGTCAGACACGACTGAAGCGCCTTAACACACACTATGTGCTTGACTCTTTAGCTGTTTTTAGATGCCCTTCTCAGGACAGGAGGCTGGACCTCAGTAGTCTGTTTAGTCATGAAGCCAATAATTAGTAGAGATGGGATTCAAACCCAGGATGGTCTGAGTCCAGAGGTCTCTTTCTCCAAAATCGTCTATAGGCATACTTCATTTTATTGCACTTTGCAGATATCACTTTTTTAAAAAAAAAAAGAGAGAGAGAAAACAAATTGAAGGTTTGTGGCGACCCTGTGTGCATTGAGCAAGTCTGTTGGCACCATTTTCCCAGCAGCATTTGCTCACTCCATATCTCTGTGTCACATTTTGGTCATTCTCAAAACATCTCAAACCTTCCACCAGCAAAAAGATTATGACTCACTGAAGGCTCAGATGACGGCAGCATCTTTTAGCAATAAAGTATTTTTTAATAAAGGTATCTACATTTCCACACATGTGCTATTATACACTTTAAACGTGTATGGTGAGTATAGTGGCATGTAAACATAACTTTTATATGCACTGGGAGATAAAAATTCATGTGACTCATTTTATTGCCAATATTTGCTTTATTGCGGTGGTCTGGAATTGAACCTGCACTGTCTCTGAAGTCTGCCTGTAAATGGTGCAAGAATTTGTGTTACAGAAACTGACAGTTGTGTCACTGAGAAGTGGGGTTAGGTCAGGGAGGTGGTGGAACATGAAATAAGCCTCAGTGAGAAGCTAGGTTTGGTAGAGAGGAAAGACATGCTCATCAGGGCTGTGATGGGTATCCTTGTCTATCACATGATCCCGAGTTCAGTTCTCTGCCAAGCAGGTCCTAAATTGCTACTTAGAAGAATGTAAGGCTTAAGACAAGAAAATTCGATCCAGAGCAAGTCCAGCCTAGTTTCAAGTCCCATCTCAATCACTTCGTAGCTGTGTTTCCATTGGCATATCACTCAGCCTCTCTGAGCTGAGCCAAATGTTTTCATCTTAAAAATGAGAACAAGAGAAAAATGATGACTCAGGAGTTCCCTGGCAGTCCAGTGATCAGGACTCAGCACTTTCACTTCCATGTCCTGGGTTCAATCCCAGGTCTGGGAACTAAGATACCACAAAGTGTGGCCCAAAGACAAAAACAAAAAATAAAAAGCATCAGCATTTAATTAGGGAAAAAGAGAAAAAATGATGATGAAAATGAACATTTATGCATGTTTTCTGCACTGTTGTAAGTACTTTAAGCATTTTTGTTGAAGCCTCTTGGAACTGTTCCACATGATAGTTACTGTTAGTATCCTCATTTTAACAGAGGAAGAAATGGGCACAGAGCAGTTAAGTATCTTGCCCAAGCTTAAACAGCCAGAAACTGGCAGAATTGTAGTCTTAACCACTACATCACAGCATCATAGAGAAGCCGGTGTCTGGCATATCTTTAACACACAGAAATCACCCCAATAAAATTAATTACAAATAATGGCACAGGGAAGGACTCAACTTGTCACCTCCACTCCTAGAAGTTGGAGCATCTCGGAACACTTATTATCAGTCCTGGTTCAGTGCAGGTAACAGGAACCTCTCAAGGTATGTCAAGCAGGAAAGTATTTAATACAGGAGCTTGGATGATCACAGAATTCTTGGAAGGGATGGAAGACTTGAAGTCAGGGGGTTCTGCCACTTGAATTTGGCTTCAAGATCACCCCTCTGCAGCTGAAATCCAGGGGTCATAAATTACCTTTGGCATTTCACCCCACATCCATGAAATTAAAGATCAGATAGACAGGACGTGAAGTCCAACCACAGCTCACTCCTGTCTGCAGAAAACTGGTATCTGCCTCCATCCTGCCTTTTAAAACCTTCATGTGTGCATCTCACTGGAGAACCTAAATGATGTTCAGGACCTTAGCCCCAAGAGATTATGGGAAATGTAGTTTGTAGATGTCTTACCATGTAGGAATAGGGCATAGGTCAGGGATGAGAATGGGTGCTATGGATGCCAAAGGGTGATGATGAACAATGTCTAGTTCACACTGAGCACCCAAGGGAGAAAAAGCTTCCAAGCTCTATATACCTGAGCCAAGAGTCTGGATAGTTCTTTTTCCTGCCTGTGGGTTATACTGGTCTTTCTCTGAGGCCAACAGTGTATCTCTTTTCTGACAGATGGAGTTCACCCTGTACCTCATCAGTCACGTGGGCATGATCATCTCACTGGTGTGTCTTGCCACGGCCATCATCACCTTCCTTGTGTGTCGCACCATCCGAAACCAGAACACCTACATCCACCTGCACCTCTGCATATGCCTCTTCTTGGCCAAGATACTGTTTCTCACTGGTGTGGACAAGACTGACAACCAGGTATCGTATCCCTCAGGCTGTGTCCCCATCCATCCACATCATTTCCCAATCTGCTTCTGCTCATCCTCACCTAACTCCCTCAATGCTACTTTCCACCTCAGGACCCTTGCACATGCTTTTCCCTCTTTCCATACTCATCTGCCAGCTTCTAGTTGATGCCTTCTTGTGATAGGTCTCAGTTTAGAATGATTTTCCTGATCATGTTATGTATGGGGGTGGTCTCTCTTCCTACTCTTTAAGCCTTTGGTTCTTACCTGGGATGATTCCGTGCCCTCAGGGGACACTTGGCAATGTCTGATGTTGTTAGTTGTCACCTTTGGGAGGGGATGCTGCTAAACATCTTACAATGCACAGGACAGTCTCCCCCATCTTCCCACAGCAGAAAATAATAAGGCAATAGTGTTACAAATGTCTTCCCTTATGGCCTAGCTGGTAAAGAATCCGCCTGCAATGCAGGAGACCTGGGTTCAGTCCCTGGGTCAGAAAGATCCCTGGAGGAAGAAATGGTTACCCATTCCATTCCTGCCTGGGAATCCCACAGACCAAGGAGCGTGGTGGGCTTGTCTGGGGTTACAAAGAATCAGACATGACTGCACACAACACAGCAAGCAGTAGCAGTGTTATAAATATTAGTAATGCTACAGTTGAGAAATTCTTTGTTTAAAAACTGAAATATAGTTGATTTACTGTGTTGTGGCAATCTCTGCTGTACAAAAAAGTCACTCATTTGTATACATATGTACATTCTTTTTTAATATTCTTTTCCATTCTGGTTTATCACTGGATATTCAGCATAGTTCTCTGTGCTATACAGTAGGACCTTGTGTCTATCCATTCTAAATTTAATAATTTGCATCTAACCACCCCAAACTCCCAGTCCATCCCTCTCCCTCCCCCCACCTTGGTGACTATGAGTCTGCTCTCTATGTCTGTGAGTCTGTTTCTGTTTTGTAGGTAGGTTCGTTTGTATCATAGTTTAGATTCCACATATAAATGATATCATACAGTAATTGTTTTCTCTTTCTGACTTACTTCACTTAGTGAGATCATCTCTAGTCGCATCCATAGGTGAGAAATTCTACTTTTTATCACTCTCTTTTGCATCTTTTCCCAGCACCTATTAAAATTTGAAACCATATTGATTTTTTTTTGTTCTTGTTTTACTTATTGTGTATCTACCTCTTCCACAAGATTGTGTGTCCCATGAGAACAAGAACTTTTGGCCAATTAAGCTCCGATAACTGTGTCCGAAACAGTAGGTTCTCGGGGTATTTCCAAAGGAAGCACTAGTGACATTTCAGGTGGGATGATCATTCTTAAAGCAGAACTACCCTCTCACTATGGGATGTTTCACTTCCTAGACCCCTTGGGAGCCAAAGGCTAGTAGCACTCCCCACCTCTTATCATGGGAACTAGGGTGAACAAAATTTTCCTGTAAAGAAGCAGATAAAAGTATCTTTAATTTTGCAGATGCTGTGGTCTCCATTGGCAGCTACTCAACTCTGCCATTTTAGCATGAACAAAGCCATGTTGTTGTTTAGTCACTCAGTCGTGTCTGACTCTTTGCGACCCCATGGACTGTACCCCGTCAGGCTCCTCTATCCATGGGGCAAGAATACTGGAATGGGTTGCCATTTCCTTCTCCAAGGGATCTTTCTGACCCAGAGACTGAGCCTCCCCTCACCCATCTCCTGGCATTGGCACACGAGTTCTTTACCCACTGAGACACCAGGGAAACCTGAAAGCGGCCACAGAGAATACATAAATGGGGAAGGCTGTGTGTCAATGAGATGTTAATTACAAAACCTGCAATCGGTCCATGGCTGTAATTTGTGGATCCCTTCTCCTCCCCCGACCCCTGTATCTTCAAACATTCCCTAAAGTAGGGTGATCGTCTATCTGTTATTCTCTCAGACTCTCCCAGCTTTAGCACTGGAAGTGGTATATCCTGAGGAAACTCATTTCTAGGGAAACCAGAATGATTGGTGTCCCTAATAAAGGGATGGAACTACCTGTAGTAAAGAATATATCTATAAATATTTGTGGAATGAATGAAGAGGCTGTGTTTGGGGAAGTCCAGTCAAAGTAGCCCCTTTATGGTTTGGTTTTTTAAAAAATTTTATCGGAAGATAATTGCTTTATAACTCTGTGCTGGCTTCTGCCATGCAACAACATGAATCAGAGAAGGAGGCAGGACACAACCCTGAAAGAATGACATAGCTTTTGAGGATACAGTATAAACTGATTAGACCCAACTAGGTCCAAGATGGCAGAAGATTCAACTTGCGCTAGACCTTGAGCCTCATTATACACTACTGTAATACATTAGGATGCTAAATGACCACCCACAGGCAGCCAGGTCCACCATCAAAGACTAAAAAGTGGGCAGTGGCCCAATTCCTGGAAATCCCTGCTCCTTCCCTCAAATATATAGTTGAAATAATCCTCCTACTTGTTAGCCTATGAAATTACCCAGCCCATAAAAACTAACCACCCTGTGTTCACAGCTGCTTTCTTCTTTTGAGACGGACAGAATTCTGTCATGGAATGTGTGTGTGTGTGTGTGTGTGTGTGTGTGTGTGTAGTGTGTGGTGTGCATGCTCAGTCATGTCTGACTTTTTGTGACCACATGGACTGTAGCCCACCAGGTTCCTCTGTCCATGGGATTCTCAAGGCAAGAATACAGGAGTGGGTTGCCATGCCCTCCTCCAGGAGATCTTCCCAACCCAGGGATCGAACCCGTGTGTCTTGCATCTCCTGCATTGGCAGGTGGATTCTTTACCACTGAGCCACTTGGGAAGCTATATGGAATGTATAGATATACATTCTAAATAAATAATGCACACTGTAAATAAATCCACTTCTTACCTATCAAAAGCAACAACAACAGCAACAGAGGAACTGCTTCTCCGCCCTCTTCCTCTGAACATACTCCCTGGAGTAAGGGAGACTGAAGGTGCCTGATTCTCCTCCACAGATGGGCTGCGCCCTCATCGCAGGCTTTCTGCACTACCTTTTCCTTGCGTGCTTCTTCTGGATGCTGGTGGAGGCTGTGATACTCTTCCTTATGGTCAGGAACCTGAAAGTGGTGAATTACTTCAGTTCTCGGAACATCAAGATGCTGTATCTCTGCGCCTTTGGCTATGGGCTCCCGGGGGTAGTGGTGGCTGCCTCTGCTGGCTTACAACCACAGGGTTATGGGATGTATAATCGGTAAGTGACATTCTTCTCTTTCCCTGAAAATTATTGTTATTATTAATCATTCCATGGTGATAATTAAATGAACATACAAAAGAGCAATAACAGGAGCAGTAGTCACGCCTACCATTTATTGAGCTCTTACTTTATGGGCTGTAGGTCTCAGGCCTGCCATGGGCAGTAGCACAGGTTGTGCACTGCACAAATCCGGAAGCCACTGTTTGCACTATAGTATCGGTGGGTAGTGGCAATGTAAACAGTAAACTTGATTGCAAAGTTTTCAGTTCGTGGACTATAGAGCCTACTTGCTTGGGTCTGGATCCTGGCTATACCACTGTCTAGCTATGCTGCCTTGGGCAAGTTACTTAAACTCTGTATGCTCTCATTTCCTCATCTATTATATGCAAGCTGATGACAATACCTATATTATAGTGTTATTGTGAGTGTTGAGCGAGTTAGTGTCTGCAAAATATTTAGACAGTGTCTGGCACAATGTAAAGCATTATACATGTTATTATTGCCACGATTCTTTTGCCATGGTCTCTTTTTTTTTCATTTAGTTTTTAATTGGAGGAAAATTACAATGTTGTGTTGGTTTCTACCATACAACAACGTGAATCAATCACAAGTATGTATTTGTCCCCTCCCTCGTCAGCCTCCCTCCCCTCTACCACCCCACTCTCTCTAGGTTGTCACAGAGCACCAAGCTGGGCTCCCTGTATTACACAGCAGCCTCTCACTAACAACTCCATGGACAATAGGAGCCTGGCAGGCTACAGTCCGTAGGGTTGCAAAGAGTCAGACACGAGTGAAGCAACTGAGCATGCTTGCACTGGCTATCTATTTTACACATGAGTGTGTGTATATGTCAATGGTACTGTCTCAATTTGTCCCACCCTCTCCTTTCTCCACTGTGTTCACAAATCTGTTCTCTACATCTACATCTTCATTCCCTCTCTGCAAATACATTCACCAGTACCATTTTTCTAGATTCCATGTATATGCATTAATATACAGTATTTGTTTTTCTCTTTCTGACTTACTTTGCTCTGCATAACAGGCTCTAGGTACATCTACCTCACTACAACTGACCCAAATTCGTTCCTTTTTATGGCTTAGAAATATTCTGCCATGGTCTGTTTTAAAGTGAGGTAGAAATCTCCACACTGTTTTCCATAGTGGCTGTACTAGTTTGCATTCCCATCAACAGTGTAAGAGGGTTCCCTTTTCTCCACACCCTCTCCAGCATTTATTGCTTGTAGACTTTTGGATAGCAGCCATCCTGACTGGCGT